TTTAAATACGATTATATGTTTAAATAATATTAGGATACCGTTCTTTCCATGTATGATAGCCCGAGGATCATCTCTACAGTTCTAGTATCTAGACTCTAACACGCACTAGAGGTGAGTTCATACGGCTATATTTTCACTATTTTCAATGTTTTAGCCGGGGAAATACAAGTTAAATAGAAAGACTCTTATGTTATCATTCAAACGATTTCAATCCATTTCATTTGCAATTGTTCCAACCCGATCTATCACTACATTTACCAAAATATAATTTTAACCCTTTTGTAGCATGTTGAGCAAAAGGGTATTTTTCATAAATCTCTTACTACCGCTTTATACACACTATTATATTGCAAATGCTTCAGTTCATTTCAGGGTACACATTTAAAACTATAGTTGGGATAGTTTATGAATCACTACATTATTTTGCTAAATTCAATAAACATTACATGAACATACATTCAAACTATAATAGGTATAGTTTGGGAGACACTACACTATTTTACATGCTCAAAGAACACTATACAAAAACAAGTATATAAACTATATTATGTATAGTTTATAGAACACTACTCTATTACACTAATTTAAGGATACACTACTAAGTAATTATTTACATTACAAAGTATACTACTACAAGGTAATACATATAATTTCAAGTATAAGAGAACACTACTACACTACACATAAACTAGCTAATACAGGGTTGTGAGGCACTACTTCGGGGTATCCACTAGGGTACGGTTCTAAGTCTTACAAATTATAACCATAGGCTCCTGGATGGAGAGCGTGAATTTGTGTATAGATATATATGGGACTGAAAATCCCGCACGTTAGCTGGTTACAACAGCTAGGCCGGAAGGCCTAGGGTGACAAATGACATAACATTCCGATACCTAAAGAATGTTGTAGATGCCACTAGTCATATTAAGCATGGTTGTATGAAACTCACTATAGTATCAACTAAAACATTTGTTTACGAGATTAACAATACTTCAAATAGATTTATTTTAAATAATGAAACTATAGTACACTACTTTACACTACAACTGGTGGATTCCAGGCACTCATACAATAAGGTTTTCATACAAAAACTGCTACGAGCACTACCACAGACACTACCAATTGTATTCTCAGGGAACCGGTAGACAGATACACCTACAGGTTTTGAGAAGACGGAGCTTTTAGATTCGCATCTTTTATACTTTTTTTTATACATTTTGATGTCATACAAACTATGTATTGAACAGATGTATATACTATATTTTATCAATGTAATGGTTGGGTTTGCTTTGATTACTATTATACATTTGTTGTGATATTGTACATGATGTCCTCCGACCTCGAATGTTTCCTTCATTCCGGTTTGGGGGTGTGGCATACAACATACATACAAAGGCATCTCTCCTTAAACTAACTAGCATGTGATTCACAGATTCATAAATCAAGTCATAACAGATAACATATATGGGTATTCTGTCGAAAACTTCCTTGAGCTCGACTGATTGCATGCACCACACCCTTTCTTGTTTTAGAAAACTCTTTACCTGGAAAGCCATGGGCACCCCCACATGATCTTATAACCAAGTGTCGTGGGCACTCCTATGATCTTTACCTGGAATGCCATGGGCACCCCTACACTGTCTTATAACCAAGTGCCATGGGCACCCCCATGGTCTTTCCTGTAAGTATAACAAAGACAACTAGCATATAACATACCACATAACTAACTAGCATACCACCTAACACGTAATCAACTGGCATACCACATAACACATAATTAGTCGGCCTTGGTGCCTTCAACCTATTCGTATGGTGAGGAGACTCACCTCGAATGCTGAAACTCCCTGCAAGAAATCCTTAACTGCTGCCCTAACAACTCCTCGAGCTGTCAATACCGAAATATCGCCGAATTAGCAATTAGGTCCCAAACCATGATCCATAATCCATACTTGGGGGTAAATTGACCATTTTACCCCTGGCGCAACAAGATTCATAACTAAGTTCCAAGTCCAAAACTGAAAAGGCCCAAAACTGTAAAATCCATAAAAGCCAACTAATTGCCCACTAATGGCCCAATTTTCCAAATTGGGCCTAACTCCTTAAATGGGCTTTCCCTTTAAGCCCAAACACATTCTTAGCCCAAGTCCTTTCATAATGGCCCAAGAGTCTACACTTTGCTAATGGGTCCGAAAGCCATATCCAAATATGTTAATGGGCCACATGGCCCAATAAGGCCCAACCAAAACAACCATGGCCCAAAACATATAAATCAGACCAGCAATCCAAAATATGACCAGGCCCAAACTGAATAAGGCCCAAAGGGCTTACACGCCCACACAAAGCTGAAAACCCAACTGGAGTGCGTACGCCCTACGTACCCTCCAGTATGCTCAACGTACTATCCCTTCAAGCAGTATGCGCTGCATACACGAATTTACGCACGATGTACAAGCAGGATGTGCACATTTGACCATTAAGTGCTTAATACTTGGGATTTCAATGTCCAACTTTATATATGAGTCCATTAAGACGTCCTAAGGCATAAATTTGGCAACTTTATGCCTTTGCATGCTCCATATGCTCCTAAGAACCCTTTACAACCCATTAAGACCTTTCCAAGGGTCTTAACTCATGCATGAGGTCAAAAAAACCCATCAAGACTACATTTTTATGGTACTAATGAACCAAGGGACCTCATATCTACTCTTCCTAAGCTCCGGAGTTGCTCAAACTTCCAAGGGATGATTCATAAACACAAAAGGGGACAATATAGCAAACCCTAACTCAATCTAATGAATAAGATGTTAATGTTAAGGCTTTATACCTCTAGAAGCTCCTCAAGATGATCTAGATGCAGGATCTTGAAGCTTAATGCCACACCAAGCGCTCATTATCTTCTCCTTCTTAGATAATCTCTAAAATGTCTACCAATACACTTTTTAAGCTCAAGAAACACTCTCACAAGAAAATCTGAGGTTAAGGGATGAAATGGGGCTGTAGAGGCTTGCTAGGGTTTCACCTCAATGACTTAAGGATGTTTAAATATGTGTCAAGTCCGAATTTTAGGGTTTGGCATATCCGTCACGTATGCCCCGCGTACCCCCTGGTACGCCCAACGTACGTGCTGACCCTCCGCGATCATCCATCCTTAGTACGCTAAGCGTACTCCAAGAGTACGCCCAGCATACGAGCGTATGAAGGGACCATTATGCCAAAATTTTCATTTCAAGGGTATAAAAAGTTACTACCAGATTTGGAGTGTTACAACTATTTTGATGTTAATTACATCAGTTACGTAGTTAATTTTTTATAATTTTCGTAAAATTATAACTCCTCCAATTGGAGTCAGATTTTTACAAAGTTTATATCATTGGGATCAAGTTACTGTGTACTTTCCAAATACACTAACCATTATTAATTACGACATGACTCTTTTTTCACTCATTTTTTACTTTATCAACATTTTTCCACTTATAATGTGCAACATATTTGATCATATTTTCCGTAATATGAAAATTTCTATTGCTTTCGTTTGTCTATGCTAAACTCTAGTGATGGTTGTTTGACAAGTAATTTCTTTGTTATTACATGAGAGAACATAGCTTCAGCAAATCATGATGGAGGTTTGTGTGTGTGCGTCGACAAGAAGAAAGGAGTGGAGGCATGATTTTGAGAATAAAAAAGGAAGAGTGAGAACTAAGGTAGTAACATCTTTCTTTTTTCAGAGATGGATTTTTTAAGTGCCATTTAACAAATTTAGATGTATATTATAAGAGGGTTAAACAAGCAATATCTGAATTTTTAAAGAGATTACCTACTAGTTTTTCAATTAAAATGTAAACAAACAGAGCCTAAAACTTCCACCTATTTCATTTAGTAAGCTATTGTTTGGATATTTCCTTTGAAAGTTATACACTTTAACATATTTCTTAAGTTTGGTAATTAAAAAATTACAAGCAGATCAAGACATATGAGTAGTTGAACTAAATACCATGAACACATATAAAGGTTTTCTAGGATTTTAGCCTTAGAAAACTTGTTGGTGAAATGTAGGGTGTGAATAGAGACAAAAATGCAAATAGGGCTTATCATCGATTGTTATGTGAGTTTTTCATATGTTGTTACTCGCACTAGAATGTCTATCATTCAAATGTAGTTTATATAGGGTTATAGCTATTTATTTATCCAAACATGTTTTATGATAAATATAGTTGTATGTAAATGTGTTTTTTAGCCAGTTTATTTTCTATGTGACTTTTAGACATGATACATTTAGTGGAAACCAATGACATGCTTAATAGTCTTGAGCATGACAATGTGTGTGATAGGCAAGGATAGGAACCGAGAATTATACTAACTTTCTTTTAATATTTAAATTTATTAAGCACGATAGATATATTGTAGCAAAGGGGAAATGAAACAAGCCTTTGATTGTTTCTCTAAGAATATAGGGAAATGGTCAATTATTTTCTGATTTACCAAAATGACCAACACATATGAAAAATTGTGTTTGAGATTAAGTTAATTATGTTTCATTGTAACTTTATATCCAAAAAAAACATTTCCAACAAAAAAAAAAGTAAAAAGAAAAATGAATTTTAAAGAAAAGTCCAAAAGCCGATGATCAATTGGGAATTTTAAAAATGTTTTGTGTTCATTGAAATTAAACATAAATTTTAAAAAATTATATTAAAATGAAAGTTAATTATGATATAAGAACGTATAAATGAGTCATTTAGTTGAAACCAATAGTAATTAAAATTTAAAATTCAATGGGTAGAGAATATTTTTATATGTATTTGGTATAAATGATAGAAAAATGCATATCGTATACCATCCGAAATCCAAAATGCCATATTTTGGAATTGGTGTTCATTTTGTAAAATACGTCAAATTTGGCCATTTTCATTAGTCGTCCTGAATCATAAAGTATTTTATCATTATCCCTAAAATTTAGCTATTTATACCTACATGCCACAAGATACACACAAACTACTTCTCATAACTGAAAAATATGACAAACTTATTGGTGCCACTCTCTGACTCCCATGGTGGAAACCGAAAAAATCTGTGGAAAATACCATTTTCCAATGTGGTGATCACACGAACTAGGAACTATTTTTTGGGTCGAAAATGGCAAGCGGTAGACATCCAAGTGGCATCATGGTTCATTTTTGTTCATTTACTTGCCCTTTTTGCACCTTTTACATTTACTTGGGAGGCTTTTTGGATCGCATTTGTTGGTTACATTGTCACGGGAATGCTAGGTGTGACCCTCTCTTATCATCGACTTTTGTCCCACCATAGTCTCAAACTTCCCAAATGGCTCGAGTACATATTTGTTTACTTTGGGGTCCTAGCCTTACAGGTTTGTATTTGGCTTTATCATCAACATAATCTAATTTTTCTCGGATTGATTAAAAGTTTGTCTAGTAAGACGTAATGTATTGACGGTGAATGAAAGAGACGAAGATAATGAAGGAGTTTATATATGTGATCATTTTGGATGGTATATATGAATGTAATTAACATTATATGATTTTATCTATATTACATATAAATATAATACGTAGTTTTAGTTCTACACTATACATGTTAGAAAATAAAAATGAAAATAAATCGACTCATGAACTTTAAAAATAGTTATAAAACATAAAAATAAGTTATGTTACAAATTTTCATTATATTCTATGATTGTATGAGAAAAAATAAAAATTTATTCGATTGTATTAGAAAAACCAAGTAATATTTTTAATTTCAATAAAATGAATCATATTATTTTTTTTCTGATTCCATCACACTAAACAATACGTAGGTTATTTCATTTTATATGCAGGGAGATCCAATATTTTGGGTGAGCATCCATAGATATCATCACAAATACGTGGATTCAGATAATGATACACACTCGCCCATCAACGGGTTATGGTTTAGTTATGCGGGTTGGTTTTTTGACAATGAATACCTAGTTGAAAAGGTATCATGATATCCTTTTATTATCAATTAGTTTTAAGATATATGTATTAGATGAGTTTATTTATAAAAAAGGTAAATATTAATGTTTAAATATTTAATAAGTTTGAATTTAAAATAAAATTGATAAAATTGTTGAATTATTAACTAAAGTGTTTTTTATTTTTATTTTATGTTCAGACAAATGATTTATATAAATAAACAAAGATATTAATGGGGTTTTATCCTAATAATTTTGAAATTAAAATGTAAGCCATTATTAAAATTTATATTCATTTATTATTATATTTATTGCTATTAAATTTAAATTTATATGGAATTTAATAAAATAGAAAAAACCATAAAATGACATGTAGAAAACACAATTAGTTTAAAATAACTATAAAATGCATATGACCAAATAAATGAGAGTATGATATGTGCTAAAAATATCTTTATTTATTAAAGTAAAAATGATTAAAAATATATTGTTGCTATAATTTTAATCGAATTGCATGAACAAAAAACACAAATCATCCTAAAACAATACTATATTGGTTGCTTTTATGCAGTATCAAGAACGTAACAACGTAGAAGATTTAAAAAATCAAACATTCTATATATTCATTCAAAAAACATACATGTGTCATTTGCTTGGATGTGGTGCGGTATTGTATGCATGGGGTGGATTTACGTACGTCGTTTGGGGCATGGTATAATATCTTTATTTGAATTCATTTCATAAATTTTACTTTAGATAATGATTTTCAAATATATTTAGTTTAAATACTTCATTCATATTAACTTACATTTTTTATGAAATAAATAAATAGATTGGATAGACAAATTTGTTTGATTAAAACCACATGTACATATTAACAAGGAGTTTTTTTTATATAGATACCATCACAAATACTGGGAGATCCTAAGTGATAACTTACATTTGATTAAAACCACATGTACATATTAACAAATGAGGTGAGTTTTTTATTTGAAAAAAAACTTTTTTTTTATATATAAATATAGAGCTCTATTGAAAATGACGAAATTTGTGATTTTTATAAAAAGGAAACAATAATCTGATTGACTTAATTCGTGATTTTTGGTATATGGTCTGCTAAAACTAAAAAAAAAATTCTTTAATTGATCCATAGCCAAAATATATTTATATGATTGATAAAACTTATTTTCTAAAACATATTGCTAAATTATTTGTAGTAGTATATGTTAACTATAAATTAAATCGTTTTTTACATAAATTTATGGTGTATGTAGGGTGTTAGGATTGTATGGATTTATCACCTTATGTCCCTCATAAACACCATTGGCCACATTTGGGGAAAGCAAGCTTGGAATACCGGTGATCTCTCCAAGAACAACTGGTATGTTTGTAAATATATGAATGTGCTAATTAATATTAGATTCTAACAAAAACATTTTTCCATATTTTGTTAAGGTGGTTAGGAGTGCTTATCTTCGGAGAAGGATGGCATAACAATCATCATGCATTTGAGTATTCAGCTCGACATGGATTGGAGTGGTGGCAAATCGATTTTACTTGGTACATCATACGGTTTCTTGAAGCTGTAGGTTTAGCAACCAACATCAAAGTACCGACCGAGGCCCAAAAGCATAAAAAATCCTTTGATACTTCTTATAATCCATATAAATGATCGATCGTTTTGTACGTAACATTAAGTATATATTTAAATAAAATAAACATCTATATAAAATTACTTTTATATGGATTACTTTATACAAATGAAAATATACTTTAGAGATTTATTTAATTTTGCAAGTCTTTTGTTGATATGTATCCCTTAAAATTATGTTTGTTTAATTTTGATTGAAAATAAATATATAAGTGGAATGTCGACATATTTTAATCTAATTTTGACTTATGTTATTTGTATTGTTTACTTTTGTTAAATAAGTACATTTTGTTTGACGATTTTTATTGAATGACATGATTTTATTCAATAAATAACAACTAGTAATTTAGCATGCATTTTGCCATGGATTTTTACTCGACTTTGTTACGTATTAGAAAAGTAAATGAGGGATATATATATATATATATATATATATATATATATATATATATATATATATATATATATATATATATATATATATATATATATATATATATATATATATATATATATATAAGGTTAGGTTCATGTGAGACGGTCTAATTTTGTGAGACCGTAAGACGCATTTTTTTAATTTTTTAAAAATTTTTTTTTAGTTAATTCAAGTTCCGAAAATAATATTTAAAAAAAGAATTTTTTGATTTTTCCATTTAATTTGCATTTTAAAATTATTTGTTACAATATATCAGTGTAATATTCTATTAGAATATTTCACGTATTTTTAAAAAAAAATGGAATTTTTTTTTTATTTTTTTTAGTTAATTCAAGTTCCGAAAATAATATTTAAACAAAGAATTTTTAGATTTTTCTATTTATTCTGCATTTTAAAATTATTTTTTAGAATATGTCAGTGTAATATTTAAAAAAAGAATTTTTGGATTTTTCCATTTATTTTAAATTTTAAAATTATTTTTAGATTTGGTCTCACGGTTTCACAAAATTAGAATGGTCTCAAATGAACCTATATATATATATATATATATATATATATATATATATATATATATATATATATATATATATATATATATATATATATATATATCTTCCTATCATAATAAAAGAATAATTTTATTCTCCTTTTGACATGTGTCACCATATTAGACCTCATAATTAATGCATATTTTATTTTTCTTTTGATATGTGTCACCCTATTATGTTTTCTAATTAATGAATGCCACTTATCAAGCTATTGATTATCCATTTCAAATTTCAAAATTTAAATTTCCTACTCTAATTAGATAAAATTAATAACATTAAAATAAAATAAAAATAAAATTAATACAACTTATAAAATAATATAATTTTACATATTTATTTAAATCAATGATTATAATTTTATATAACTAAAAAAAATCTCTTAATTAATAATTTATTTTAAATAAGTGATTAATAATTTTGAGTTTTTTGACTATTAAAATTTAATTAATTTTATAACTGTGGTTCTCACGGGTTATAAACTAGTATATATATATATATATATATATATATATATATATATATATATATATATATATATATATATATATATATATATATAGGCTTAGATTATTCTATTCAAAATAATTATTGTGTTATTGTATCCATAAATGTCGGCCAATCAATTTTACTTATTTTAAGTAACTGATTATTACATATTATTGAATTAAATGTAATTCACAAATACCATCTATTCTAACTAGAAGAATATTTTAGTCAATTAATATAGATTCAATAACGGAAATTTGAATATTTTAAGGGAAAATAGGTTCTATTAATTTTAAAAATCTTATTGTATGGATGATAATTCTCTTAATTCATAAAATTCCGACGGAATATGTTTATCAATATTTTGAAAAATAACAAATATGATTGAACCATACAAGAATAGACATTCTGAAATAATATATATTTTGAGTTAATGAAATTATTGGAGAATAACAACATTTTGGATACAAGTTAAAAAAAATATCATTACATTCTTAGAAAAGAAAAATTTTTACACATTATTTTATAACAATGTTACACTTATTAATAACAAAGAAATACAATATATAAATCATTCTACCAGATTATACTATTACATATATATATATATATATATATATATATATATATATATATATATATATATATATATATATATATATATATATATATATTCATAATATTGTATATTATTCTGCTGGAATAAACCATTTTTTTTTTGAAGATTGGTGGTCATTGTTCATCTTCATCCCATAAAATGTTCATCATCAAGATTCTATTCAGACAAAATAGAGATTCAAGATTCCATTCTAGTAAAATGTTGTAAATTTCATATGTACCGTGTTTTGCTTTGATATCTCTCGTTTCTATTTTGACAAAATCAGAATTCAAGATTCCATTCCAGTAGAGCTCATAGGAATCTAGAAGACTATTTTACTAACATATGCAATCAAGTAGGATGTTAGTTGAACACTTGCAAGAAAGTAGAGAATTTATGTTCATAAATCATGGATTTGGGTGTTGTGTGTGGTTTGTTATTGTTTATTATCACTCACATACAGATGGATTATTGAAATTCAGTGTTAGCAACTCCTAAGGTTGTTATGTTTCTTAACTCACAACTAAATATCTTTCAACCCAAGGCTTTATGGGTGATTCGATAAAGAATGAATCAAAATATCAAATTTATAAGTAATCAGAACAAAATCCAAGAAACCCATGAATTAAAGTGAAAGAGAAATGCTAAATAAACATACCTCAAGAGCAAGATTGTAACGACCATACTTCCTCAAATCTTTCACAAGCCTACAAAGCTCACACTTTGTAGTGGTTTTGCCTTCATTCTTCCATTGATTCAACACACTGCTCGACCCCTTTTCCCTATTACCCATCATCAAAATCCTTTTGTAGATAGTTTTCCAAGCAACCATTGTTTGTGGTTACTTTTATTAGATGATTGTGCCATAGTTGTAGACATTTGAAGCGTATAATGATGAAGAACAAGGGTTGTGGGTGTGGTTGAGATTGGGGAATTGTCGAGTGGAGTAACATTTGATTTAATTCTTTTCTGAATTAATTAGGGCTTTATGAAATGCTTCGAAATCTTGAAGCTTGAAAGGATTTAGTGGGAAAAGCTCAAGGGTTATCTTCATGTTTTTTCGACCCTGTGAAAGGAAAGAATGACATGAAGGCTTGAATCTCCTTCCCTTTTCGCCCATCATATCACCATTTTCAGCCTGGACTGCCACAGAACATCTTCCAGGGGTTGCTGTCACGTTTTGTTGTCGGCTAATGAATTTGGGGCTTATATGTGAAGTGCAGGGCGCCGATAGAAAGGGATGAGGCGATGACCTGCTGCTGGTGGCGGAAAAGGACTCTCATTTTCAAGATCAACTGCAAAAAGAAAATTAAGGGTGTGAGACCGATTTATGAATGGATAAATTTAGGGTTAGAAAAAGTCAATTATATATAAACCTGGAGAAATTAGGTTAAAAGTCAATACCATAATTATAGGGATCATTTTTGGAAGTTATTAATCATATTACTAAAATACCCTTATTTATTTATTTAATTATTTATTTAATTTTGATTGGCGCACATTTATGCACACAATAATAAAATAATTAATTTAAATACCTGAACTTTTATATATATATATATAATGAGGGACAAACACAAAGATTAGAAAATGAAAAAGTTCAAAGTGATATTATAAATATATATATATATATATATATATATATATATATATATATATATATATATATATATATATATATGTATATAGTATTTGATGAGGGACAAAGGAAAGTTTAGAAAATAAAAAAGGTGAAAGTGATATTATAAAATAGAAAGATGACAATATCATTTTACAAAATAATAGGTTACAAGTAACGTATTATATGTATTATATAAAGTTGAAATATTAAACTTGAAGTTCACATATTAACATACTTTTATATTGTGTAGTTAAATATATACTTTTAGTTTGCAATTGAATATCTACTTTAGCTAGCTTAAAATCAATCTAAACTTCTGAACATTCAAATCAAATACCAAATCAAATACCAAATAATCTGATCTAAATTATCATATTAGGCGATTCGGTTATAACCAAATAATGTATAATCCTACACTCACATACTCAAATTTAAATTTTAGTATTATTTATAGTTAGATGTGAGACCCATGTATTACATGGGTTTAATTAAAAAAATAAATATAAAATTTTAACAATTTGAAAAGTTTGAATTTATAAGACAAATGAGAAAATTTTGAATTATTAAAATTAATGAGACTTTAATGTATTGAATACATTACATATATAAACTTTTTCTAATAAATATCTTAGATATATATTACTTTACACATTACATGTGGAATTTTAATTTAATAAAATGAAAAATACAATAAAATTACAAGTGAAAAATAGAAAATTTAAAAATTTTAGAAAATACCATGTGTCCAAATGAATGAGAAGAGGACATGTGGCAAAAAAAAAAACCTTTATTTATTATAGTAGAAATTGCTAAAGAACTATTTTACAAAAGATAAGAAAAAGTCAAAGAACTTTTAAGACAACGTATCTAATCAATCTTTTTATATGTCACATTCTAAAGATCCAATTAAAAAAAAATGGTGATATTAAATATAGGGAAATCAAAAATTCATAATATTTTAATTCACTTTAGGCAAAAGTCGACGTGTTATTTGTTAACAAAAAAGTTTTGGTTATCGGATAAAAAGTTCAAATGAGTCATTTTTACTCACTTACCTATAGAAAAATCTTATTTTTTGGTATAGTTTATGAAAAAGTCATATATTCTTACTTAACTCTTTTGTCCATTCATTAAAAATCTAGAAATTTTTTGATTGAATTATGAATATGAATAAACTTATTAGGCTCCATCAAACTAAGGATGAAAGTCTTCTATAACTAATTGTTTGCCATAAAACAATGACATTAACATCATTTTAAACTCATCGGTGCCCATCTAATCCATTTCTCATATAAATTTATGTTACAATTATTATTATTTAAATTATGTGTTGAACATATTCATACCATCTACCTAAAAGTAGGTTAAAGGAAAACCAATCGATATGTTTATAAAAGATCTTTATGCCCAAGAGTTATAAAATGATATTATTAATGACATATGATCATATAATTTACATCCGTTAACAAGTTACTACTAACTGATTATTTATTAGAATAATATTGATTATTAATAAATATTTTCAATTGT